TAGAGAAAACCCTTTCCAACTGAATGTATCTGCAATAAGATCATGGTGTCATAAAAATACAGTTGTGAGAGAGTCTGAGAAATGCTCTCAGCTATCCTTGGAAATATTTGTCTAATTGTCCCATTCCTTCCAGCAATGGAAATTCTACAGCCTTCATAGGTAACCCATCTCCATATTTATCTACTTTTAATATCAAAAGATACTTTTGATCTACTTAATAGCAAAAGATTTCTTTAACTGAAACATCTCTTACAACAGGGTAAGTCCACTCATTATTCTTAGTTCACACTCTATCCAATACTTTAAAATAACCTTTTATATATTTGTACACTTTTTTTATGTTTTTACTAAATCATCTCTTAACAAATCCAACTATTTCAACTTTACAATATTTGCTGAACAGAATCTCAGATGCAACATACAAAGTCTAACATTTCTTTATATTCTTCTGGCAGAAGAGAGATGTTGAGTTGAATAAGATTTAAAAAGTTGAGGTGAGGTCCCCAATGATGTAGCTCTTATATAAAAGCTGGGCATCACAGCCACTTCAAAAGAGTGAATCCTGCTCACTTATTTCAAAGAACACTGTTTATCTAGCAGGTAACTTCAGGTATGGACTTTGGACCACTGGCTGTCATTGTCATTCTTTTCCAGCTTTCTAAGAGGAGTTCAAATGCAAACGTCTGGGATTAGAATTTCTCTTAACTTCTATTAGATGGTTCTGTGGTCAAGATAGCCTTTTTCACCCTCTGAGGTACATACTTTGACACTGTAATGGAGTTTGGCAACCCAACATTAGGGTTTGTATCCTATTTTAGGTTTAGGAACCTATTTTAGGGTTAGGAACCTATTTTAGGTTTAGGAACCTAAAATATAGGGAATAAACATAATTTGCAGATAGCAGAGATGTTTATATTACATTGGAACATGCTGATAACATCTTCAAGGTAAAAATGGTTAAGATAGTTCCAAACTCATACATAATACAACTGCATTTGTATGGCTAGGCTGCCCTCGACACCCTTGATGGAAAGCATCACTATGCTCTCCTGGATACAGTTAATTTACCACTATGAAGGATCTCCAATTCTCAAAGGCAGATTCTAAAGAAGCAGAAGAAAGGACATAATCCAAAAATGTTAAGTAGAGTCTAATGCTTGAGTCATACAAACTCTGAAGCAGTACTACCTCAATCCAAGAAAGCAACTCACGCAGAAAAGCAAGTATCAGGTAGGAGGGAATCACGTATTTATGGTGTACTTATGTGCTTAGTTAAATCAGGATACTTTTCTTGGATTTTGACCTAATATGGTCAATATGAGTATATACTATGACAGAGGAACAACAGCCTACTGAGAAGGGTGACAAACGAACAGTTTGAAAGAGATTGTCACTGCACCTCTAATTAAGAAAGAAATTGCAGCTACCTAAAAGACTGTGGACTTATCTTGCAGCCTCTTTCTTTCGAACTGGTTTTAAGATATGCCCATCAACTGCATTTTAAATACAATTACTTAACTGCTTTTTTTTCCTTTATTGTGTAAAAGCTAGATTATAGAAGTGAGAGCAATTTCAGTCTGAGATCTCTTGTCATTTGGATGTCTTATGGCAGTTAGGTCTCTTGGCAGGTCAGACAGCTGCCAAGACAGCTCTCATCAGTTCAGCATCAGGCTGATGATTTAGCTTTCAAAGGACTACAACTGTCATAGGACATCAAGAAAATATTACACAAGGTGGTCTTTCAGGTAGCTGGAATTCATTATATTACAAATTTTAAAATGTTTAGGTAGAGCCTTGTAATTTTTCTATGTGTTCAGTGGCAAGTAGGTCATTAATGTAATGCACTTCTGGTGTTCTTGTAATAGCAGGTGTTGACCTGCCTTTTAAGGCTTACTTTTCATAGCACACAACACGGTACTGGCTGTAATATAATGTTGGTAATGGCTTATGATCATTTCAGACAGGATAAGAGTAAGAATAGTACTAAGCATATACAAGTGAACATTAAAGTGTATTTATACCATCTTAAGTTTTAGTCAGTGTTGTGCTAGACGACCAGAAAATATGTTGGATGTAGATGGCAGAGATGGCTTTGGACTTTCCACTGACAAAAATAGCTGATAAATGCAAATCTATTGCAGAGTGGCCAACAGACACATTCAATGAACTTTATTTCCATGTGAAAAAAAAAAAAAAAGGGCACTTTAAAGATAAAACATGAGACCAAGAATAACATTACTCAGAAACTCACATTGAGTGACCGGTTAACACCAGCTTCTGAGAGTTTTATCTGAATAGCAATTTCATGACAGTTCTGTCAAACGGTACACAAATAACTATTTACAGCACCTACAGCAAACAGTTGAGCATAGTACAAGGAAGCCCAGACCAGTGACATCTGAAATGAGCTCTCCCTGTAAGCTAGCCCCAGGAGTACCAGATTATAGCTGAGTTGCAGAGAGGATTGCCCCTCAGCTAGAATTATTGGGTTGGGTATGGTGTTACACATGACACCGAATTTCAGAATGAAAGTCAATACTGCCATTCAGCCCTTTGCTGTAATGTACATATTTTGGGTTGACAAGGGGAGAGAATATAAAGCTAAAAAGGGAAGGGAAAAAAAAACCAACAATAAACACAAGTGTTGCTCAATACAATTGCTCACCACCTGCTAACCAATACAATTGCTCACCACCTGCTAACCAATACCCAGCCTGACCTGAGCATGTATACCTGTGCGATCAATCTTATTATACAGGGAGCATCAACGACAGGTCAAATGAATCTCCACGTATATAAGTTGTCCAGGGTTAGATGAGATTAAACACTGCCTTTGTGTTTCTGAAATTAGTAACAGTCATATAAGAGGTTCGATAGAAAGTTACTTCCAAGCATTAGATTTCCTGAAGCTTAAAAGAAGAGTCAGCAGAATCATTATGTAATGATTTTGTAGACACACCACGACACTTCTGACTGATAAAAATATTTCCCTGTAATATTTCATTAAATTTAAAGTTACTGTGTAGCAACTCTAAGAGGTTGACGGCTGCCAAGAGCTGTGAGGTAGCTGAATAGAATGGTGTTTCTGGAGCCCTGCCCAGAGTTGAAACAAAATTTGACTCATCTTCATGCATACATTTGCAATATACCTACAAACTAAAATAAGGATTTAACTCCATCACGAGGTTCTAGTGATATCTTGTTACAGCCAAGACTTGATTATAATACTAAAAGAAGTTTTAAAGTGGCTCTGGAGAGAAAAGTGATCTTTACATAGCTATATTCGTTGGGATGTTTGTGACCTTGAATTGTGTTCTCCCAGAATACACACGCCCTAAGCACTGATTCAGTTGTTGGTAGCAGGATAAATCTAATTTGAGCCCCATTTTGTGTCTTTGTACTACTTCACAGTATACTAGCAAATATCGCAGTGAGTAGGAAATACTGTGCTTGGGAAGCTTATGCATGCAAGGATTTAGAAACCGTAGGATAGGAGCTGAACTAGATCAAGACTGATGGAATTCATCATGCCTATTTTTGCTTTAATTTTCAGCTAACAGTCTTCCAACAAAAAACAGAGATAAAAGATTAGAAGAGAGAGAGAGAGAGGAAGGACATCTGATGGAACTGTTTGAGCAAGTCTAGAGGAGGCCACAAGGATGATAAGGGTGCTGGAGCACCTCCCATATGAAGACAGGCTGAGAAAGTTGTGATTATTCAGCCTGGAGAAGAGAAGGCTGAGTAGAGACCTCAGAGCAGCCTTCCAGTATCTGAATGGGGCTTATAACAATGCTGGAGAGGGACTCTTCATTAGGGACTGCAGTGATAGGACAAGGGGTAGTGGATTTAAACTTAAGCAGGGGAAGTTTAGATTGGATATAAGGAAGAAGTTCTTTACCATAAGGGTGTTGAGGCACTGGAATGGGTTGCCCAAAGAAGTGGTAAATGCTCCATCCCTGACAGTGCTCAAGGCCAGGTTGGACAGGGCCTTGGGTGACATGGTTTGGTGGAAGGTGCCCCTGCCCATAGCAGGGGGTTGGAACTAGTTGATCTGAAGGTCCTTTCCAACCCAAACCATTCTATGATTCTAAAATATTAAAATTGCATGACATTTACTTGACAGGATCCTCTTCAATCTGCTTATATGCTATAGCATTTTATTCAGTCTTTTTCTGACTTATCTGTTCAAACTGTAAGCTTCTTGACATCTATCCTGTCACTTATTGAATGCTCATGTACTTTTGAGCACAAGGGGAGTCCCAGTCTCAAGTAAGATTTTTAGACATCACCATTATATAAATAGTAATAAGAAATACCTTCAGACAACTAAGCAACTAATACCCCATCTTTTTTGATAGTCAATCCTTTGATCTGCAAGCTGAAGAGATCAGACAATAATAATCTGGGAATGGAGATAAGAAATATTTTCTTTTAATTACTGAAGTGCCGCTTTTTCCAACTATCACATCATCCATGAGAAGATGGAAGCACTAAACCCTATGAGTTCAAAGGAATCCCATGAGCTCTAGTCCCTCTATTTCTTGCACACACATAATTTGATTCCACTACTTCTACTGGATACCCAAGCAGGTTTCAAAAATTCTTGTACTTTTACTGAGAAAAGTTTTTCTGCAATTTTCCAGATGGAAAATTTTTTATTTATATTTGACTGCTGCTCTCAATTTTTCAAAAGAATTGGTGAACAATAATACAGTGAGAAAGTTATCAGCATGCACTGTTCAAAATACATTATTGCACCAACTTTACTCCCAAGGCTTATACTGGTCAGTTGGATTGCACCATTTTAACATATGGTAATTACCACCATGGAGAAGAAAAGGCTTAGAAAGACAGTATGGAATTATAAGTCCTGCTGTGTTAACAATAGATACTGTAGTAAAATACTGTCTTTTATTATCAGTAAACAGTAATACCAGAGTTCAGGTTATTCTTACAATTTTGCCTAATTGCTATTAAAATAATGCAACATTTCTTCTTACCACTGAGAAGCCAGTGTGGAAAAGATATCAGTGGTTTCAGGTACTTGGAACAGTTTCAAAAGTTCTGGTTCAGATGATAAGTCAGCAAGGATCCTTAACTCAATATGGGAAAAATCTAGAAAGCAATGTTAAAATAAATCTCTTGCTCTAAAACAAAATTGTACCTGCAATTTAACCAAACTATGACAAATTAAAACACAAGTCTAGGCTGTTCAGTCATTTCCTCATGCTCAGAAAAAACATGTAAAAAGCTCATTCTGAAATAACTTCAGCTAAAGATCACTAGGTGTCTGATCACTTTGTTATCTTCAGGTGTCAATCTTATTAGCTCTTTGTTTCTACTGACAAGGCTTACATATCATCTACTTCTGAAGCACGCTAAGGAGTATAGATCATACAACAATATTCATTGATAGTAAGAGATGTGACAGCCTTGTAAAATATAATACCATCCAAAGGAGACGGAAAGAAGAGATGACAGAACTACGAACATTAATATGTATGAGAATAATAATACATACTATCTTACCTGCTGCTAAAAATGTATATCCTTTCCTTGACACAAACAATGTTCTTGGGGAAAAAGTTATTATTTCCTCTTCTTTTCCTAGAAAGGGGATAGACATATGAGTCCCAAATCCCAGTTCAAAAATACTATGCTGCAAACCATAGGAGGTTGTAAACAACATACCAAGGACACAACTAAAACTACACAAAGAGCAATGTAAGCAACCTAGCAGAGCACCAACTGCCAGCTTCACAACTATTTTATTCTATCAGTCATGTACAACATCTTTGTCATTCTTGCAGTACTGCTTACTTCTCCTCCTTTTTCAAAACCAAACCCTTCCCAAAACATTAGCTAACAAATATCTACAAAACTAACATTATTCACAGATCATCTAAGGAGGCATTCAGATAAGGAAGGGTCTAGAGATGAGCTAAAAAAATAGATTTTTGTACCTTTGAACATGCTGCAGTGATATGTTAATAACCAAATTCTGATTTACAGGTGGTAGGGGGACTGCAGTTGACATTGGCATCCAAATTCTAACTATAGAAATCTACAATAATATCACAAAGCAACAATGTACCTTGACAAAGTATTAGAAACAATGCATCCTGGGAGTACCACTTGTCTTGGTGTAGAAAGGAATGGTGGTTAGAAATACAACAGAATTAATCTGATCAGCATGAAAATGGAAAAACTAAGTGTGCCTTGATATAGGAATGAAACACATCAAAACACATTTGTGAGAATAACATATTACATTGATTGGACTGTTTCCAGAAAGGCCTGTGTGCCATAATTGCTCACAGCAGCTCAGGTTTGCACAGGCACTGCTCACACATTTTTTGGTAACAACGTCAACAATTTACTTACAAAAATGAATCGGGTAGATAAAATAAAAAACTGCTGTAGAAATCTTACAGTGTCTTCAACAGACTTCTGTATTATGATCTGTATTATTTCAAACACATGGAGTGAATAGCAGCGAAAAGGCTGAGAACCAAGTGCAATAAATGAGCACCATTTCCCAGCTATGGATATAGGTGTTCAAGGAGAGTTTGTGCTGGCAAATCTTTCTCTTTTATTTGAGTCTACTATTGTGGGTTTCTCTCTTTATCACCTGGGTCATGCTTTTCTGCACTTTACTGTGACTCTCTCTGAATCATCTGCCTTAGATCCACTTCTGTTACTACAAACAATACATGTAACTATTGGTGTTTACTTGTGAGGTTGATTAAAATGACCCATCTAGAACACCACCTCAGGCAAAGCCTTACAAGCTGAATTCACACAAAATCATCGCTAGGATATTTAATGGAGTCAAGATTTGTAATTTCACCTGGTAAAAGAACAGTGACATAGTTGAACGGAACAAAAATATCTCAAAGTTCATGGGTATGAAATCAGTGCTGAAACAGCAATTTCTTTCTTGCAGGAACATTCAGCAAAAAGTACTTGGTTTAAATGCTAATGTATAACTAAGTACTAATAATCTATTCTGCTCTTTAATGGTGGAGGTACCACTCTGTTTTAAAATATAGCTTAGTAAAATAATTAGATAAAATTGCCTTTTCATGTTAGTAAAAACAGAGTTTACCTTTTATGTACTGCTTCTTTGTGATTCTAACTGGATGCTTAGAGATACCTTGAATGTTCTACAAGTAAGAAGAATAAAAATGCTTAGCAAAGTTAACATTTATGAAAACATGTTTATAAACAGTTCATAAGCAGCATAAGAACATCAGTGATACTAATGCCAACAAGTTTTCTCTGCATAATAAATAATATTAACCCTTTGCCTTTCAAAGGCATCTTCACACTTCCGTAACTATTGATACTTTTAAATAGATGCTCTTCCTTGAAAACAGGAAATGTAAGAACATTTTCCCACCAGCAGCCTTTCCAATCCTAATCTCTGGATGCACCACAGAACATAATTAAAAACCCAATAAAAATAATTTCCTCTTTATTTTAACCTGTATTTTTTTTAAGATACGGTGTGTTACTTTCAGACAAGAGTATATGCAAACCCTGCCTTAAGCTAATGGAACAGATTCTTCTTCAGCCTCCAGAAATTTTTCTAATATCTATTCCCACTTTTTGGAAATGCATGATAAAATAAAGGAGCTCATTGCTAACTGCAACACATCAGGCAAGGTTAAAAGTCAGAACTAAGTTTATCAATAAACATGCAGGACTAGGAATAACAGATTTCTCTTTAAAGATCTGCATTCATAGACCTCGAGTAAAGCATTGAAGATGACACACAACAGTTTCCTTCTGTTACTTTAAGTCATTATGTCTCATCATCTAGAAAGGTAACATGATATGAGCCAATGTGTATCAAGCTCAATTTTCAACACAATCAATTTGCAAGCGGTTCAGGAATCAGGTGAACCTGCTAGCATTATGTAATACTATTAATTCAGGAGATGTGAATGGTGCTATATAATTTCCAAATCAGAATGATCATTTTCTACATAATTTTGAACTCAGATTTGTTATTTTAAACTTGAGGGATTTAATCAGTCTGCAAAATCTATTGAAATATAAAGCAGAAGTAAAAGAACTAAACCCCCAAAACAGAACTGCTTTCATTTCTAGCTTTAGTATCACACTTAAAGATCTATAATTTAATGTATTAAAGTTGAACACCCACCACAGCACTATACACACAGAGACAGAAAACTGTTACATAAAATACATAATATTTCCACAGCTTGCATAAACTAGGAACACTGCTCTCAATCCATCAATACCAAATTTGACCCAGAAGAAACACTTGCTATCTTTAATATTTTATTCTTCGGTTTCTAGAAACAACATAAAAAGGACACGGAGCTGTTGAAGCAAGTCCAGAGGAGGGCCATAAGGATGATCGGGGCTGGAACACCTCCCATATGAAGACAGGCTGAGAAAGTTGGGGCTGTTCAGCCTGGAGAAGAGAAGCTGCATGGAGACCTCAGAGAAGCCTTCCAGTATCTGAAGGGGGCCTATAGGAATGCTGGGGAGGGACTCTTCATTAGGGACTGTAGCAACAGGACAAGGGGTAATGGGTTAAAACTTAAACAGGGGAAGTTCAAGTTAGATAAAAGGAAAAAGTTCTTTACTGTGAGGGTGGTGAGGCACTGGAACAGGTTGCCCAGAGAAGTAGTAAATGCTCCAACCCCAGCAGTGTTCAAGGCCAGGTTTGACAGAGACTTGGGCAAGACAGTCTAGTGTGAGGGTTGGAACTAGATGATCTTAAGGTCCTTTCCAACCCTAACCATTCTATGATTCTATAATTTTTAAAGTTGTGGGAATGGTTATTGTAATGCTATTAACCTTATTTTAAAATTGGTGGTTATTTAATCCACACACAAAACTAACATTTCTATTGATAACTATTGATTTTTATCAATAACAAGTTGGGGACAATGATTGCTTGCTCATATGAATATGCAGTTTAAGTGGGCATGGAAGGTAGTAGATCCTCAGAAGTTCTGAAAATTACGTCCTTTATTACGTATCTGGATATGAATGTGGGAGCCTCATTTTATATATTAAAAAAAAACCAAACAAAATCACAACATTTTAATTCTGACTTAAATCACTGCAGTGGTAAAGATCATTGTATGGACTTTTCACTGGGCTCTACACTGGTATTGACATGTACCTCCAGCACAGGTTAAAGAGTGGTTTATAGTTCCACTCACTGATTATCATTGCTTAACTCATTAGCTTCAAAATCCTGGACAAAGTGAAATAAATAAAAATTCATTCCAAAACGTATCTATAATGGTAAAAATAAATCACTATATTGCCTTCTTGCTTTCACTGACAGCATATGCAGAAAGTCTGCTTTCAGTGCAATTTTAGAAGTGTTACTAATACTTCTGAAAAACACTAGTAAGTAATTGCAAGTGCAAAATGTACTGTCACTTGTAAATTAGTTAACAACTCATGATTTGAAAAGTTTTCCAAAAAGAAGTAACTCAAGAAACATGACAGCGGTGATGCACATCTTTAAGCTATTGGAATAGCCTAATAGAATCCTTTCATCTAATTTTAGATGTCTTTAGGCTGGTCGTTGGTCTAAACTAGCTGCCTGGAATCCCTCTAGTCAGTAGACAAAGACAGGAATCTCCAGTGGATGCTTCGAACTGTGTGTATATGAGACATACTTACAAATTGACCTAAGATTCCCCTGGAGATGATGTTTACTAAGACTTGGATTATGATATTTGGTGAGATAAATTTACCTTAAGTATTTAAAAAGATGGAGAAGGACACTCAGAAGTCTTCCAAATGGAAAACGTTCCTCTGCTTCAGTTGAAAATTAGGTGACAGTTTTATTGTATCAAAAGTAGAAGTTTGATGTGGCTTTGGTAAATGACTATTACCACCTGTACTACATAATAAAGCCTATATTTTTGCTTTTATGTATTTATTTCAAGTATATTTCTGCAAAACCTTCAGAGATCCAATCTGAGATGTGACTCTAATCCCTTACTGTTAGAAGAGGCATCTACATCATTAGAAGTTAGAGAAACAAAATTGAACTCTCTGAACAATTATGCTCCACCAGACAGAAAGGAATATACTTGAAATGGTCAATGGAAAAGCTGGTTCTGAAAGTTAACCATTAATATGTCTCTTTATTGTTTCTGAGGGGAGAAAAATGTCAAGCTATTCTAGTAGATGATTAACAAGAAAACCCTAGCATTGGTTAAAAAAATATAAGTAAATAAAACCCAACACTATAATCCAAAATTCATCTCCAGAGGTTCCAGAAGGATAGAGGAAGCCAAGGCCCAGTTTCAACTATGTTTGAAACATTGTAAAGATCAGGGGAAGTTCTAGAGAGCTGGAAGAGACCAAGTGTCACTCCTGTCTTGGAGGAGCATGCAGAAAATTACAGGCCAGTCAGCCTCTCCTCAATTCCTGGGAAGGTGACGGAGCAAATAATCCTGGAAAACATTTGCAAACATATTAAAGTCAAGATGATGATCTGTGGTAGTCAGCATGGATTTACAAAGGAGAAATCATGCTTAAGCAGCAATAGCCTTCTGCAATGGAGTAACTAGCTCAGTGGAAGAAGGGAGAGCAGCAGATGTTGTTTACTTTGACTTTAGCAAGGCTTTCAAAACAGTCTCTCATAAAAGCCTCATAGACAAACTGACGAAGTACAAGATAGATAAGTGAACAGTGAGGGGGACTAAAAACTGGCCAAACTGCTAGGTCTGGAGGGTTTTGAAGAGTGGCACTTAGACCACCTGTAGGCCAGGTGTTAGAGGAGTACCCCAGTAGCCAATACTGCTCAACACCTCCATTAATGACCTGGATAACAGGACTGAGGTGCAACCTCAGCAAGATGGCAGACAATCCAAAATCTGGAGGAGTGACTGATGCATTAGATAGCTGCTCTGTGATTCAGAAGGACCTCAAGAATAGAGAAATGGGTTAACAGGATCTCAGAGTTCACAGTCTGCTTTGCAGAAAAGTAGCTGTGGATCCTCATGAGGAACAATTTGAACATGAACCAGCAATGACCCTTTGTACCTAGGAAGGCTACCACCACCCTGGGCTGCGTCAGGAAGAGTGTCTCCAACATGCCAAAAGAGGTGATCCTACCCCTCTGCTCAGAATGCCAGATGGAAAGTATAAAGATGGAGCCAGATTCTTCTCACTGGTGCCCAATGACAGTGCAAGAGGCAGTGGTCAGAATTACAGGAAATTCCATTTAAACATAAGAAATAACTTATCTACTGTGCCAATCACTGGATCAGATTGCACAGAGAGGTTGTGAAGCCTCCATCCTTGGAGACAGGCAAACCCCAACCAGACACAGTTCTGAGAAACTTGCTGTAGTGGATGCTGCTTTGGGCAGTGGGGTTGGACTACACGATCTCTAGTGGTCCTGTCCAAACACAACTACCTTGTGGTTCTATAATTCTGTTTTCATAACATGACTGTAAGTGATTAATGAATGTATCCCAGTGCTAACCACCTGCCTTGTCTCTACTTCACCTGATTTCTGACTGAGATAGAACTGAAGCCTTCATAGTTTGAGGCAGCGGAAAGCCACAGGACCCTGGTTGCATTGCCAAGCAATTAAAAAAAATGAAATTCTATATTATATAAAGTACACTTGTAGTATAACATTAAAATTCAAAGATTAAAGACTGAAACAAATGGTAGTCAGCTGGTGTATCATGTCTTAAAATGCAAGCTCTTAGAAAAAGTCATATTATCTTCATTATGGAAATGTATGGAAAAGTGTACAACTAAGTTTCATGAATCACTTTGGTAAAACTGCAACAAAATTGATAAGAACTACTTGAGTGTAAAAATGGAAATCTCTGTTTTTAAGGTTTTCACAGAATTGTAGAATCATTTAGGTTGGAAAAGACCTTTTAGATCACTGAGTCTAAACAGTAAACTAACACTGCCAAGTCCATCACTAAACCGTGTCCCTAAATACCACTCTGCACATCTTTTAAATACTTCCAGGGATGATAATTCCACTGCTGCCCTGGGCAACCTCTTTCAATGCTTGACAACCCTTTCTGTGAAGAAATTTTTTGCAATATCCAATCTAAACCTCCCCTGGCACAGCTTGAGCCTGTTTCCTTTTGTCCTGTCGCTTGTTACTTGGGAAAAGAGACTGACCCCC